TTCTTTGCACCTTTGTCCAGAATTAGTTCTTCCTTTTTGTAAGCATCTATTTTTGGACATATTTTATTTCACCTATTTGTATATGCTTTTTGGTGTCTTCATGACTATAGTTTTATAAATATTCTTTTTTTTTTTTTTTGGAGAGATTTTTGCTATAGGGCGCGTGCACTCGTCAGACAGACAGAGAGAGACATAGAGACAGAAAGCGAGAAATCACCCCCCAGGGGGGATGGTCACGCTGCAATCCCTTCTCCTCCATTCTCCTCTTGGGATCTTGGGCACGCACGCACACGCGCCCGGCCTGAGTTTTAAGCCACCGGGTCCAGGACGCGAACCACGATCGACTACGTGGGAGTCCAGCGACATAACCATTACGCTAACTGCTGGTTCCCATAAATATTCTTGAAATCAAGTAGTGTTCAACAGCTTTGCTCTTATTTTTCAAAGTTGGTTTGATTACTCTAGCTTTTTAAAATCTACCTGTGAATTTTGTTCAACATCAGTTGTACAAATATCTTCTGAAATGCCCACCAGGATTGCATTCAACCTATAGGTTAACTAGAAACGAGATTAACAATATTGAGTTTTCTAACACATTTATTTCAGTTTTTAAAAATTACTCTTAGCAATGATTTGTATACCGTAGTGTACAGAACTTTCATTACTTTAATTAGATTAATACATCAGTATTTTGCATTTTGGGGTGTTTTACTAGTGGTGCCATTTTTTTTTTAATGTTGCCAAAAGGCACATGCACTCCCCAGGGAAAGGAAGAGAGAGAGAGAGAGAGAGAGAGAGAGAGAGAGAGAGAGAACATGGAAGTGAGAAAGCATCCCCATGAGGGATGGTCCCACCCTAATCTCTTCCTCTCCATTTCTTTTCTTGGCATTTTGGGCAGGAAGACACATGGCCCTGGCATGTTTTCCAAGCTTCTGGGTCTGAGACTTGAAACATGCATTCAGTCTTATGGGATCCAGCCCCCTTAACCACTGCACCTCTGGCTGGTTCAAATGGTGTTATTTGCTAAATAAGAAATTCTGATAACAAACTTTCTTAGTGTATTTATCCTATAACCTGCAACCTTGCTAAATACAACTACTATCATTTATTTGTAGCTTTTTTTGGTAGAAAGGAGCCTGTCTTATGTAAGCTATTGTGTCATCTAGAAACAGCTATTTTTGTTTCTTCCTCTCCATACAGGATGTGTGCAATGCCTTCCTTTCATTTTTTTATCCTGTTGGGATATTGAACACACACACACACACACACACACACACACACACACACACGTAACTATGTAAGTGCCTGGTATGTTTTTAAAATCTTCAGGGACCGTGATTTGATCTGAGCCATGGTCGGCCATTTGGGGTCTGGCTCATGTAACCACGAGGCTTGGGGCTGGCTCATTCTTGGTTGTTTTGTAGCGTTTTTTGGTCTCTTTTTTTAATGTTTGTTTTCCTCTTTTCTTTTAAAAATTTTTATCATGTGTCTCAGTGTAGATTTCTCTGTTTCTACCCTTTCGAATTCTCTCAGCTTCTTAAATCTGGCAGCTCATGTCACCCAACTTGAGAAGTTTTCAGCCAGTGTGTGTTTAAATATCCTTTCGGCTCTATTGTTCTCTCTCAGATCCCTGCTACGCAAATGATATACCCTTTCTATATGTTGCTGCATTTCTCCAGGTTAATGAGGTGTCTGTTTAAGTCGGTTTCTTCTTTGCTGTTCACATTGGATTCTGTTCTCGTCGTCTTTCTAGCCTGTACTTGCAGTTGAGCCAGTCAGTAATTTTTTTTTTTTTTTTGAGAGATTTTCGCTATAGGGCACATGCGCTTGCTTACCAGACAGACAGAGACAGAGAGACAAAAAGCGAGAAATCACCCCCCAGGAGGGATGGTCACGCTGCAATCCCTTCTCCTCCATTCTCCTCTCGGGATCTTGGGCACACAGTAATATTTTTAAGTTAACTTATGTATTATAATTTTTAGTTCTATAATTCCCATTTTTATCTTTCTATAATTTACACCTTGGCTAAGAGTTTATAAGTTTTCATTTCATTCAAAAGAATTTGTCGTTTCTTGTTGGAACATTTTTATTGAAGTTGCGATAAGATCCTTTTGGATAAATTCCAACATATCTTTATGTCATAGGTATTGGCTGATTATATTTTCTCTTTCAAATTTTGGTTTTCCTGATCCTTAATATAATATGCAATTTTATTATATCCTCGTGGTTTTCTTTATTATATTAGAGGACTGCCTATCTTATTTCATTTTTTTAAGGTGTCTGCCATAGGGCATTTACATGTGCCAGAGAGGCAGAAAGAGGGGGCAATCAAGAAATCACCCCAGGGATCATGATCACACCTCAGTCCCTTCTCTTCCATTCTTCTCCTGGGATTTGGGGCAGTTACACACGCACCAGGCATGGCTTTCAAGTCACAAGTCCAGCACTCGAACTGTCATATGGGAATCCAGTGCCTTAACTGTCACGCCACCTGCTGACCCCATTATTTGAATTATTTAAAGCAAGAATTCACTATATGTTTAGCACACAGGTTTGTGGGGTGCCTCCAGTTGCAATATATGTTATAGAGACTATCTAGTGTTGCTTTTATCGTGTGTCTCAGTGGAAATCTAAAAGCAACACTAGATAGAAATCTACACTCAGACACATGATAAAAATTCTTAAAAGAAAAGAGGAAAACAAACATTAAAAAAAGGAACAAAAAAACGCTACAAAACAACCTAAAATGAAAGCAACACTAGATAGTCTCTCAAGAAAAAGGTCAGTCAGACCGGGGCCTCAGCTATTCTCTACTGGTGTCATTTTAGGA